CCCCCTCCATCCCATCACCTCCCCTTCCTGTACAAGAACATCCTAAAGAACAAAACAAAACTAATGTTTTTTACTCTCTTGTAACACCTCTAATCTTCTGCACTTATTGTGTTGCAAGTGCCATAAAACTCTTACTAGAATAAAAAAAAAAAGCATTATATAAGAACTTTAATTTAAGATAAATATTGTCCAGATCCTGGCACATTGGTTTGGTGTTTCACCACACACACACACACACACACACACACACACACACACACACACACTCTCTCTCTCTCTCTCTCACACATCCTCTCCTCCACACACCTAATCAAAATAAATGAAAGAATAGATCTATGCTTGCACAGACAAACAAACTCACAGTCACACGCAAACAAATGACCAATAATTGTCAACATTTCTAGTGTTAGGTTAGCTATACACAAGTTTATTATAATACCAAGGTGATATTGTACTGTACACAGGGTCACCGTAACGCCTGGAGTACTCCTGCCCGTGTGTCCGCGTGTATACAGCGGTTGTTCCAAATAGTAACGCCTGGAGTACTCCTGCCCGTGTGTCCGCGTGTATACAGCGGTTGTTCCACTGAATCAACAAAAGTGCGACAGGATGGTTTTCTTCCTTTTCTTATATCTTGTCTATGACTAGATCTAGATCTAGCCTATCTAGTAAAATAATTATATCTTGTCTATGACTAGATCTAGATCTAGCCTATCTAGTAAAACAATAACGCCTGTAGCCCTCGGAACGTACATTAATGACATCTTTGTGTTGCCAATGACGTAACACTTACTAAGTCTGTTTTTCCCTGATATTTGAGGGACCTCTCTAAAAATGTGCCAAAATATAACAAAAACCTAAACTGAGAGAACCATTTTGGACCCCAGACTAGATTTAGTACTTCTACTGATGCATAAACCCTCAAAGTTTGTTGGTTTTATTTTTTGAAATGTGTGAAAAGAATATTACATTTAATATGAATCCATCGGTCTGAACAGAGATCATTGTTAATTGCTCATTCGTTGAACACATCAGCATCACCAAAGTCGGCCAAATGATGGCTCCTCTTACCAGATACATGTGGAATAAGATAAATAACAGCTTGTTCACTTGCGTCTGACTATGGTTGAAACAAGGTAAAAACGAATTGTTCTGTTTTATCTCCCCACTCTCTGTATAAGCCATCATTTTGTTAGTGCAGACAGAGGAAAGTGAACAGGCTATACATGTATACAGATCTAGTCTACAACTGGAAGAGGAGGATGAAACAAGTGTGTAGCCCCAACATTGACCTTTGAAATGTCCATCAGTTGATGACAACATTGACGTTTGAAATGTCCATCAGTAGATGACAACAGTAATGTTATCTTGTCCGCGAGTGTGTCAACGAGCCGGCAGTAAGTCTGTACACAGAGGGATTATCTGGTCCGAGGGAACACCACAACAGGAGGTTCACTTCACATCTGTTCATCTGTACAGAGAAAACAGAAGAGGAATCGGAACTTTAAAGTTGGATCATCTTTAATTTATTCATGAGCTATAATATTATGCGTTGCATCGTGGAGAAATCAGGCTCTCGTCATAATAATCAAATCAAAGAGACCGACATTTTTCAGCCAGTTTGGTAATTTCTATCTTTTTTTTCAGGCTCAACACCTTTTATCATCCATTTCAGAACACCTTAACTTTGTGTAGATTTTCATAGAGGCAAACGTTGAGCAAAGGCACAAGAAGATGTAGTTTGTAGTTTCCAAAGGCCACTCAAGCTTTGGAATTCATCAAACTTTGGCCACCATGTTTTCGCAAATTTCACCACTGAAACCAGCTAACCCCCACCTCCTTCAGTTGCAAGTATCTCAACTTGTATTCCAGATAGATGGGTGCTTTATTCATCGAAAGCAAGGCCAACGAACGACCTCTAAGACAATACCAGTAACCCCATACGCACAAAAATTGACAACCGCCCTATTTCACAGCGTTGCGATAGGCCTATATGTTTTGGTCTTATAATATATATATATATCTAATTACTTTACTTAATTGACAATGCTCTTTCAAAGTCATTATTTTATTTTGTCAATTTATCTTTTACTCTTATTTGTAAGTCATTGTCAACAATGCTTACAATATTTTAAAAAATCTGGTTCCCAGATCCGTTTTGTGAGATGTTGTATCCCCTGGAAAGGGAAAGTTATGCCATGTCCTCCAGTGTTCCTCAACTCAATAGGCTACTCGTCAATAGAACTGTGTCCATTTCCCTCAGTTCTGCACAACTCAATGGGGTAGATCTACTCGTCAATAGAACTGTGTCCAGTTCCTTCAGTTCTGCACAACTCAATGGGGTAGATCTACTCGTCAATAGAACTGTGTCCAGTTCCTTCACACTGACACATTTGACGACTCCTTGGTTGAATTTGATTCCAAGTTTTGTTTAAATTGGTGCAAAAAGCAGACAGTCTTTTTTCCTTTTGTTTTGTTTTGGAGACAATAAACTTGTCCTGATGTCACTCCAATTTTGGTATGTTGGATTGAACCAGAGAGGGTTTACAGTAGTATTACTGTAAACTCTCTGATTGAACAATGTCTCTGCCACTCTAGTCCAATTAGTCCAATTATTATTTTAGTCCAATTATTATTTTAGCCCAATTCTAGTTCATTTATTATTTTAGTCCAATTATTATTTTAGTCTAATTAGTCAAATCATTTAGTCCAATTAGTTAGTCCAAATATTTAGTCCAATTATTATTTTAGTCCAATATATTATCTTAGCCCAAGTATTAATTATTTTAATCCAATTATTATTTTAGTCCAATTATCATTTTAGTCCAATATATTATTTTAGTCCATAGTCCAATTATTACTTTAGTCCAATATATCATTTTAGTCCAATTAGTCCAATTATTACTTTGAAGCCTAATGTATTCTGACCTAGAGAGCCCAGTGAGCTGTCTACATAACCTCCGACTCACCCGGCTGATGATACCCACTGGACATTGGCCGACTGTCTGCGTTGATCACCCGTTGGTAAATGTTCGAACCCCGGTGAGGATTAGGAGGGGGAGGCTGCTGATGGAAAGATCCAGAAAACCGCTCGTACGGCAGGTCCTGAAAGTGAATTTGATTTTAAAAAACAATTTTAACTACATTTCATCCACGTTCAACTGTAATAATGCATGTGTGGGATTTTTTGAAAATAGAAAAAACAAACAAGCAAACAAACAAAACAAAACAAAAAACAACAACAATAACAAAAGTAATTATGAACCAAAACCAAAATAAAACCCCAAAAATAGATATATAGTAATTTCCTTTTTTTCGTTCTTTTTGGTTTTTTAATTATCTGACATACGCTTAACTGTTTAAGCAATGTCTGTCTGTCTGTCTGTCTGTCTGTCTGTCTGTCTGTCTGTCTGTCTGTCTGTCCAAAGAGGAATAAGAGTGATACATACCTCAGGATGAGAGCCTGAAATGTGAGAAAGAAAGACAAATGAACATTGTACGATTGAAAAAGTGTGCTTTTCACAAGGTGCTTCTCCATCTTTATTGCTCCATCAACTCAGTTCCGATCGTAAGGACAAAAGGCTAGGGCTGCCTCTGAGCTTCCTGTCATAAACTACCTTCGATGTATGGCTTTTTCTAAAATTCTAAATTATAAGAATTTTTTTTTACCTTGTTTGGGCTTCATCAGGAACGTGAAAAAACAACAACACAATAGTAACAGAATATAATGTGTTCACTTATATCATCATCATCATCATCATCATCATCATCATCATCATCATCATCATCATCATCATCATCACCGTCATCATCAAGTGCCAGATCTGCGACAGACAAGAGACATCAGAAACCATGGTTCGCCATTCATTCCTTTGCTCAAAAGCTTTCATAAAACCTAGATCTATACATTTGTAAATATCCTTGTCTTTCCTTGTCGTCCGTCTGTTCAGGATTTCCCTGCGACTGCAAGTAGCTCTGGGTCTACCCCTGCTCTGCTCCTCCTCCATCTTACCAGTGAGAGAAAGATGTTCTCGGTTTTTCCACTGATTCAATCTCCCGGAAACCGCACTTGTTTCTTCTTAAGAGCTCTTATTTCGGAAATCATTGAAATCTGTCTATTTTTCAGGATTAGGCTCATTTTTATTGAAACAGCTTCAACTATAACAATACGGTACATCTTTTTATCTTCCACCATGAAAAACTCCATAGTCTTTCACTTTGACTGAGTAAATAGAAGCACATGGACACATTGACAGCCACATGGACACATTGACAGCCACATGGACACATTGACAGCCATATATAGTGCAGGAAAGAAGTAGGACATAGAGACAGAAACAACAGAGGGAAAGTACCTACCAGTGACACCCTCCAACCACCTACCCACCAGTGACACCCTCCAACCACCTACCCAGACAGAAACAACAGGGAGAAAGAAGGACCCACCAGTGACACCCTCCAACCACC